ATATATATATATATATATATGTCGAGATGGGACTTACTGTTCTGCAAGATTAAGCCTGAGGGTAACTGTGACCGATCTCTGCGATTGTTCAAGAGCTCCAAGGGGAGGATTAATCCAGCGGTTTGGAGGCTTCAGTCGAGTCACTTAACAATATCGCGAATAAAATCGCTTGAGTGAACTGATCGCGGCTCACCACTAGAATCGGTTAAGCGATCTGATTGCGGCAGAGTGTCGGTTGATTGAGTAACTGTATAGTCGCGAACCGGCAGAGTTTCGTGGATGGAATTTGACTGACTGACTGTTCGTGAAGGATCTTCTTTTTATATTTGTGAGTAGTGCCGAATGCAGGCTTTGCGTATGTTACTGATCTAAAATAAAAAAAAAATAAGGATTAGGATTGAGGATATCGTTTGTGAAATAGGATTTGTGAAATACTGGAGTATATGTCTAAGACAACTTTCATCATCGACCGTTTGCCAAATGTTCAATAGATTCAGAATTTAATAAATGATACACATGTCATTTATTACCGACAACTGCTGTTTCAGTTTGTATTTCTTAATCTATTTACTTCTTCTATTCCTCATTCTCGGGATGAAGAGTTTCGTCTATTCACTTACTTTTTAATTTTTAATCAAACAACTTCGTCCCGAGTGGATTATTTAGTCTTAAAAAGGCGAATGTTATTAGGTTCGTCACTAATTCGGTTGTATCTCTCTATAGTAGAAACAGATGATCTACCGGTGTTACTTGTTAATAACTTTTATGGTGATGATGAAAATTCTAATCGAAGAAAAGAATTGTTTGGATGTAATACATGCAACATGAACAGAACTATTACACACAACAAAAAATAGTAACACGTTTTTGTGACTCATTTTTACTAATTTTGATGGCTGTTACATAAAAAGTATTTGCTTTGTCTGATTTATGCTAATTTCACTGCCACTAGGCGCGCTAAGGAAAAACTTAGCTAATTAATCCCCCATCGTTTTTGAGAGAGAGGGGGAGAAAGAGAGAGAGAGAGAGAGAGAGAGAGAGAGAGAGAGAGAACTACTTTGGAAGTAGTTCTGTTTTGCAATGTTGTCTTCAGCTAAAGCATTAAATATGTAGATATTCTCATCCGCAATTTTGGTTCCACTTGATTAATATATTAAGTATGGGAAAAAGTTCGTGGCGTTAGATGTAACGGGAAAAACGCCACGAACTTTTTCCCATACCTATTATTATAATACAATTGACAAAGATGGTGACAAAGATAAATGTTAAAGAGAGTCCGCTCACTTCAAATTTGGCTAAAATACACTTAATTGATTTGTCTTTGCATAAAAATAAAGATTTAACAAGAAAAAAGAAAAAAATGTCGCTTTGCTTCGTGAACCAAGATATTAATCCTTAAAGTCGACGACTATTCAGATTAGAAAATTTCACAACAGTGATTCACTACTTTAAAAACACAAATTCATTACTTTTAAAATACAAGTTCATTACTTTATCAGAAAATTTATGTTTTTAGCGCTTAATGAACTACTGTTATGAGAGATTTTCTAACGAATAGTCAACTTTAAGTTAATTACTATCTCGATTTGCTGAGCAGATGTCAAATCTTTATTTTTACGCGAAAACACATTCAGTATATTTTTATCAAAATTTGAGGTGAGCGGGCTCTCCTTAACATTTATCTTTGTCACTAATCATACTATAACTTATCAATCAAATGAAATCAAAATAGCGGATGAGAATACCTACATATCTAGTGCCTTATTTCAATCTCGTACGAACACTCCGTCTATCTTATATTACGTCACTAGCCCATTACAGTTGATCCTAGAGATAGAACGCCCATCTGCGACCTACATTAATTTGATACGATTTTGCTCCTAGAGAATTGCGCGGCGATCAAGCTTGCGTCTGGGAAATAGGGCCTCCGCACAATAATAGGAACAGGGAATAGAGAACAGAGAATAAGAATTTCAACCTATTAGAAACTGTGTATTCCACAATACATGATTTCTGATAGATTGAAATTCTTATTCTTTGTTCTCTGTTTCCTATTTCTTTTATTGTGCGAAGGTTTATAATTGTCGACTAGTCGTCATTTCACAGTCGTTCCCCGATTCTAGCTAGATAAGTCAAGAAAGACGAACGTCCAAGCATGTTGCACAGTCGCTGATTGTCCGGATTTCTGATACGCGTATGATGCAAGTTGAGTACCTCTCAATACGCTGCAGATGATCGATATGAATATAGTGGCACATCATGCGATGCTCGATCATCAACCGATCTGAGTTCGAGGCACATATCATAATTAATTTTGCGAGTCGCACGATGCTGATTAAATGTCGAGGTTACGTACAAAGCACTCGCGATCCACAGTATATACGCATCAGTAAATACGTGCGCGCGGTTTGCGTTCTGTCAACTCATACACATAATCGGCACATAATCGGAACTCAAGTCTTCGTTACGTGGCCTATATCGTGAATTCACAGATCCACACAATCGAATCATGAAGAGGGTAATGTATACCGCGCCTCAAGATGGCCCGATAGTGACTGGGATGGCGTGAAGGCCCGACACGGAAGACGCCAGGTTGTGCGGCGGTGATCTTCCTGATGATCTCAAGATGGCGGCTTTCAGACATCACGTGGTAACTGCAACGTGGTGATGTGATGTGACTTAGCGGTTCTTCGTGGTCCACAGCAGCAGCGGCTTTTTACTAGCAGCAGTTACTCAGTGTTGCTTTGTTACGATGCCCGCTAAAGTGATATTTTAGGGAAATAGGATCTTTGGGATGGTCGGGTTAAGAATGCGTAGTAATCCTTCGAGCATTTACTATATATATGTATTTATTTATGTACTCATTCGATTAGGATTATCGAGTCTTTACAAAATAATCTGCGCAGCATGTGTTTATACATTCGTCTCTTATGTGTACATTGAATAGCAATTCAATTCTGCTTTTCTGTGCTAAAGGTGAAAACCGTTAGTTGCGTTTAACTATAATCTCTCAGGTCTACGTGGTAATAGGCTGCTAATTTAATAATTATTAAGTATTAATAAACTACGATTAGTTATAATAAACTTGTAATGTTAAAATTAATAACTACAATTAAGTATGACCAATTGCTAATATTAAAGTTGATAAGTTTTTCTCTACGAATTAGTTGAAGCATGTGATAGCGAGGTTTTTAGATTGCGTTAGTGTAAGAATTATATATACACGTTAATGCTTACAAAACATTAACAAAGGATTCGCTCTAAAAAAAACGCAGTGGAAATTTGCGAACGAGGATTTAGTAAGATGAAGTCGGATTAGTAGCACGTGAAAATTGTATGCGTGGGCTTACAACTGAATAGCACCACAAGAGCACTCATTCGTTTTCGTCCGTTCAGTTAGACGTCCGGAATCAGAGAGAGCGCCCAATGGAGCTTCCTTTCGAAAGATTCAGCAGATCTCTTACCCCAGTGTAGGGATTAGAAGGGAAAAGAGAGAAATGCTCTAACATCTAGAGAAGAAAATACTGCACGGATCTAATACTTATAAGTCTATGGCAGTGGTGCAAGAAAAAAAAAGATATATACTACTTTGCTTTGATTGATTTCTTTCGCCAATTTTCAATTAATTACTGACTAGTTTAACCGATTGGTGAAGAAGGTTCTAATGCAAATTACTAGAAAATGGACGACAAAAATGGGACTCTGATGTCGAATCTTTGATTCAGTGAGCTATATAACATAATGGAGCGAGCCATTGAGCAATTGTCTCAATTCCTAAATAAGAACACTTTAGTGCAAAGTTGATAGTTTTTTTACCACGGATTCACTGGGTATCCAGAAGCGACGAGCGTTCACTGAGCAAAAAAGCTCACCGAGTTAAATTTATCTATTACTAGAGAAAACTGAGGATAATAGACTCATTTTTCAGTTTCGAATTTTTACAGACAAAATTAAGAAAATTATCGAAAAAAATGAATTCACACAAGTTATTACATACATTTGATTACCTAATAATATAAAGGGGAAACTGATAACTAATATGAAAAAAATGCCTTTTTCTAATGCATTCCATCTGATTCAACTCAGCCTCGGCATCGGGGTAATTCGACTTAAAATTAAAATAAAAATTAATGTATTTTAAGCTATATCTTTGGCTACATATTAATAAAACTTTTATAAAAATATATTTTAAACACAAACATTCGTTTTACAGGGCAAAACAATACTTTTTGCAAAATTTATTCATTTCGTGCAAAAACACCTCGAATAATGTAGTTTTTGAGATTGGACATGAGGGAATTAAATTTATAACATTAACCACTGAGGAAAATCTCTTTAAAGGAATAAAATTTTGAATGAGTACTATAAGAGTCGTTACTAAATGAGTCATACAGTTCCATGCTGTGATTAGTGCACTATCTCCATCCGTTCATTTTTTAAAAACATTAACAATATACGATAACAAAGACACATAAACAACACATATATACAAAAAAATCTGTTGGACTTTATTAAGTAAGAACTACACTTACTATTTATAAGTAGAAATTAAATATCTCAAACAATCATATATGACTGTAAAACAATAACTTTAAGAATAAAAATATTTATTTAGGTTTTTTTTAATTGTGGCATAACTTCTATCATAGATGTGTTCGCAACAAGATGTTACAACAGACTAACGGTCGCTGTTGCATGCTCAGACACGTTTTACGCATGTCTTGCGTGTTTTGTTTTTAATGTAGCCTCGATTATTCTATCCCTACATTCAATTGACCACGGTCTCCCCTAATAAGTTTATTTATTATGATTCGTAATGTAGAATAATTACTTTATCTACTATAGATGATCTTTAATATCATTTTTCTTATTTATTTATTACTTCTCTTTATTATTTCTCTAATGTCATGTTTAGGCCATAAAATAAGAAGTAATATAGATAAAGTTATTCTACATTACAAATTATATAATAAACATATTAATAATAGATTAATCCCTTTTTTGTTTAGTGAGCGCTCAGTGAACGGTCATCGCTTCCGAACGCATCCACTAATCGGCTAATATTGTTACTGCCGTAAGAAAAAAGTCTGAAAGATAATATTGCTTGCCTTCCTTTTTTATGTGAGGTTATAGTTTTCTATAGTATAAGGAAGGCTCGCGCCAATATATTTTAAAGCTCACTGCTCTGATTAGAGAGTCTCTACAACAAGACAAAATAAAATCCTTAAATGCAAAGGATGCATTCCGTTTCATAATTTTCGTTGCATAATGTGCGTAATGCATCATTTATCCTTGTTTAACATTTAGTGAACAATACGGTTAAATAATGTATGCGTGAAATGCAATGCATCCAGAGTCTGGTCATATTAGATCTCTTTTGATTGGCATGCTTATACTGCTATGGCTTATACTACTATGACACTAATCAAAACCTAGCCTACATTTATATCAAACACATGTATTTTATATTTGTATGCCTGATCACACTCTGTCTCTAGAGACTCTGTAAGAGGATAGAGATCCTCTAATAAAAATCTGGACACGAGCCGAGTTTTGATATGCAGGGGCTCTAATTTTAACAAAATCACGCGAGAGAGAAGAACATACATTTACCAGAGAGAAAGAATAGAGAGAGAATGGAGCGGATTCAGTTAGAAACTGTCATTTTCAGTTCGTTGAAGTGAGTAGGCGTTATAGGAACGTGAACATATAGTGGTGCTACATATATTAGTATTGTACTGTTGCGTATATTATATATGTATTATACATACACACATTTGCAGAAATGCACAATAAATGATGGAACGAATCAGAAAAGAGAACACTTTTCACTTCATTCTTCCTTGATTCTGTCTGACGTAGGCTATGGTCCGATTTATGCTGACAACGGTTATGAGCATCATTTGTCTTCGTTTAACATTTGACAAACAATAAAGATGAAATGATTTTTAAGCGTGTGAGCGTGAATCTGACCGCGGCCATAGAGATCCTCTAATCAGTCATAATACGAGACGATTTTTGTATGCTGACTTTTGTACGCAAGGTAGTAATTTTAACAAAATCGATAACAGAGAAATATTAATATCTCTGTCTAACCTTAACGCCGCGTTTTAGACAAAGATACTAATATATTTTTCTATTATCGATTTTATTAAAACTACTGCATACAAAAATCGGTTCAAATCGTCTCGTGTCGGGATTCTGATTAAAGAGTTTCTAGACATTCATTATTTCTTTCTCTTATTTTTTCTGTTCTATCTTTTTCTTATCAGTTTTTTTCTTTTTCTCTTTTCAATAATTTCGTTGAATTATGATCAGTTAGAAATGATTGTTTTGTATCCAGAGAATGATTGTGTATTTTAAAATGAGGTGAAAATTACACAAAATGTGAGCGAATTTATTGGAATATGTATAATTTCATTGGTTAATACCTGATAAATTTGCTCATTTTTGTAATTTTTACCTCGTTTCAAGGTACATAATTGACGCCTAGATTCTTATTAAAGAGTCTCTATGATAGAAAAAACTAAGGAGATATTTCCATAAACGAATTTTTATTCTACCAAATTACATAAAAACTGAAAAAAAAATCATAAAATAATAGCAATATTTGTATTTTTTAAAGAATGATTTTAGAAAAAGCAGAATAAAAATTTATTTTAATATCTCACTCGATCCATACTATAATTGACGTACTGATGATCTATAATAATTATAGATAAGTTTTATTTTTGAAGACCAAAATTGCAAAATCTGGCTCTTTAACAGCTTCATATAACGTTATCAAATAAAGTCTCATGGTAAAATATTGCTTCTATGAGACAAAATATAGTTAAGTAATTATATTTTCAGCGCAGTGGGATAGATTGCCCAAAAATTGTTTTATGTCGCTAAACCGGAATCTGAGGTCAGAATTATAAAATTCAAAATGGCGAATTTAATATGGCGGACGAAATACCAAAAATAATCATACTTTATAATATTGGCTTTATAATATTGGTTGCATTTATAAATTTTTTCAGATTAAAATAATAAAATTCAAAATGACGGATGCATTATAGAATACAATTTTCAAAATTAATCGAAATTATGTACAATTTAACAGGATTTAAATTAAATTGATTAGACGAATAAAGTTTACACGATTTTTTGCATTGTTCAGGTTTTAATATTTTTTTCTACAGTTATTTGAGAATTTATGAGATTAATTAATTTAATTTTAAAAAAAGTTAATTTTAGAAATTATTATTCAATTTAAATTAGAATATCAAAATTTTTTTAAATCAGTATTCTAATAAAACAGTTGTTTATAATATAGATATTAAATTTTATATTTTATTTGTAAATTAAGTTTATATATAAAATAAAAAATATTGTTTTTATATAAAAAATATTGTATTTATATAAAAAATATTGTATTTATATAGGGTCTTTCAATAGGGACGCTCGAAATTTGTTAAATCATAGTAGCCATGTTGTTAAAGTGACATCTGTCAAATTTGTTGTTTAGTGTATGCAAATCACCATGGAAGATCATAGTGTTGAGCAACGCGTGCAAATCATAAAATTTTATTATCAAAATCAGTGTTCCGTTCGAGAAACGCACATTACGTGATTTTTATCCTCGCCATAACCGTCTTGCCGAATCGACTATTCGACGTTTGGTGGCCAAATTCGAGTCAATCGGTTCGATAAATAATTCCAACATCAGTACGTCGCCGAAACGCAAGGTCTGCTGAAAACATCGCTGCTGTGCGTGAGAGTATACGGGAAAACCCGAGGCGGTCAATTTCTCATTGTTCACAAGAATTTGGCCTTTCAATT